TGTGATATTTACATATTAACATGTTATTGAAGTGTCATTCTGAGCCTGATGAAGGGGACCCCCTGCGGCCCCGAAAGCGCTTGTGTATTGGATGGCAATGTGCCATTAAAATGGATCATTGACTAACAAAAACTGGTGTGCTGGTGACATTATTCCTTTATTCTGTTTTGTTTGTAGGCCACAGCTTAGATCCATGAGATATATATATATATATATTAGGGATGCACCGGTACTAGTATCTGTATCAGTGCGGATGTCGAGTATTTGAGCGAGTACTCGTACTCGCCCAAATGCTCCGATGCCTAGCCCGATACTTCCGGTATCAGGAAGCCGGGCAGCGCGTCATGACACGCTGCCCGGCTTCCTGATTGACCGGCTCCATGCTCTCTCGTCACTTTTGCCGAGAGAGAATGTAACAGGCTTCCCGGCTAATCAGAAAGCCGGGCAGCGTGTAATGACGCACTGCCCGGCTTCCTGATACCGGAAGATACAAAGCACACTGAGAATCCAGGAAGTTGGTGAAAGTGATGGGCAGACTGAAGGCAGCGCTCATTACATAAAAGGGATTTTTTCAAGTAAGCTTTGATTGCATCAGCATTGTAATAGGAATACATACAATCAGGAAGCCAGGGCGTGACGGCGCACCGGCTTTCTGGTTGGTCGGGAAGCCGGCTTTATGGTCCCTCGTCACCTTATGATGAGGGAGCATTGAGCCGGCATCCCGGCCAATCAGGAAGCTGGGCGCCGCATAATTACACAGCGCCCGGCTTCCTGATTGGCCAGAAAGTCGGCTCCATGCATTCTCGTCACCTAGTGACGAGAAGCTTGGGGACGGCTTCCCTGCCAATCGGGAAGCCGGGTGGGGAGTCTTTACACGTTGCCCGGCTAATCAGGAAGCCAGGTGGCGAGTCATTACACGCCGCCTGGCTTCCTGAATGGGACTTATGGTACTCTGTATACGTTATCGGCAAGTACCGTAAAAAAAAATATTGGTACTCGTACTCGATACCAAAATACCGTATCGGTGCATCCCTAGAGTGACACCAACCTTAAAAATGCATTCCAGTACCTTACCCATTAACAATATTGTATCTTATTTGTGTATCACTCAGCTGTAGATCCTCAAATTATCTCTGAATTGGTGCTGACACTGTCCTTCCTTCTGAAGGGTGGCTACTTTTGTTCCCCATGGTCCCTGTGTGTGTTGTAAAGTAGTCACCGCTCCAAGCTCACTCCTGTGATGAATTACAATCTAAATACAAATTAGTGAACTAAATGTGAGATTGTAGTCCATCGTGGGAGTGAGCTGGGAGCGGTGACTACTTTACAACGCACGCAGGGACCACGGGGAACATAACTGGCTGGGCAGTGTATATTTATCTAATCTGGATTCATTATTGGAAAGAGTTTAATACTACTTTAGTGTATCCAGCCAGTGAAATCAGAAAGATGGTACGATTACAGTTAAAGAAAAAGTTTTTGCTCAAAAAGAAGAATTTTTTTATTAACCCTTGCAGTGGGGTACCCCCCCCCCCCCCCCACTGCAAGGGTTAACGGCTCATTTGTGTCTAAAAAGTTATACTTACCCCAAGCTCCAAGCCAGCTTCTTCTTAGGCCTTGTTCACACCAAATGCAGATCCGTTTAGGTTTCTGCACACGCACTGCAGTGGGTTGTGCTGCGTTTTTGATGCGTTCCGGGCCGTTTTTGGTAAAACAAAAATGTTTTTTTTTGTTTAGTTTAACATGGGCTTTCAGTGCGTTCCAGTCATTTGCATGCGTTTTAGATGCATTTGCATGCGTTCCAGAGCAGGTCCAGAGCATGTAAAATAGGGCTTGATGCAGTTTTTTCACCTGCTCTGGACCTGCACGCTGCGATGTGAACTGGAGCAAAAAATACCATTGGAATACATTGGACGCAGTTTTAAACCAGTCTGCAACTGCTCGGCACCTGCTCCGCGCTTGGTGTGAACAAGGCCTTAGACTGGTCCTTTCCACATCTCTCCCCCTCCTCTGCAGCAGTCTAAGGTCCCATAAGTTAGTGATGCACCGATCCCAGTTTTTCAGTATCGAGTACGAGTACCAATATTTTTTTTCCCGCTACTCGCTGATGCCGAATACTGATACCGGAAGTCCCATTAAATAACCTGGGTGGCATGTAAAGACTCGCCACCCGGCTTCCCGATTAGCTGGGAAGCCGTCTCCATGATCCCTCGTCACCGCTTGAGGAGGAAGCATGGAGCCGGCTTTCAGGACAATCAGGAAGTCAGAAGGCATGTAATGACTCGTCGCTCGGCTTACTGATTGTGGAAGTTCCGGTATCGTGATAAGTATTGGGAGCATTTGGCATCGGCACCGATATCGACACTAGTATCCATGCATCACTACCGTAAATCATCAATATCTATACACAATGGGGGGAATTTATCAACATTGGAGCAGACAAAATCTGGAGCAGTTGCTTCTCTCTTCAGTTTGTTCAGTTAAGATTTGAAAATGAAAGAGAGAATCTGATTGGTTGCCATGCAATTTTCTTTAAAGCGGACCTTTACCCATATATTTAAAATAACAACAAACACACCTTTAGAAATGTTTAGTAATGACAATCTACAGTCACATACCGTGTTTCCCCGAAAATAAGACACTGTCTTATATTTTTTGGGGCTAAAAAAACCACACTAGGTCTTATTTTCAGGGTAGGTCTTTTTTTTTTTTTTATGTGCAACAATCCACACTTATTCATGTACAACAGTCTACATGTATTCATGTACAAAAATAGGGTGATCAGGGCTGTCAGGGGTGCCGTACCTTTCCAAGAGCAATTTGGTAACCAATCGCTGGCCAGAATGAGCGAAGCGCGCTTTCACTATCGATTCCTCACAGGCAGAGTGCATTTGGTATCACTCCGCCTGTGACAGGAGCCGGGACTATAGAGGAAGTATCGGCTTATGCGGCTTTGCTCCCCCCGGTGCCGCCTAGTTTCCTCTAGCGCTGGCTTCGTTGTCACCGCTGATTCTCTCCTGCCTCTCCCGCGGCTCTTCAAGTTCCTCCTTATGCCACCACCGGCCCTGGGAATGGTCACAACTAGGTCTTATTTTCAGGGTAGGTCTTATATTTTAGCAATTCCCAAAAATAGTACTAGGTCTTATTATCGGGGTAGGTCTTATTTTTGGGGAAACAGGGTACTTCTAGATAATTGCCGTCTTTGTATTCTTTGCATACTTTATTTCTCTTTTCTTCCCCAGTCTTCTGACAGTGGCCATGTTTGCTAAGCGCAGATTACTAGTTCTCCTTTTACTTCCTGGATTTCTGACACGTGACTAGACATGTGACTAGGACATGTGACTAGGACACGTGACCATGCACATCATCTCGGGGGAGGAAAATGCCTTTCCTTGAGATCTCATGAGATTACAGATGAGATTTCCCAGCAATGCTCTGCTGATGTAACCTTCCCAGGATGCAAAGCTTTTGCACATTACGTAATTTGTGCCAGAAGAGGACCAGGAAGTAGATGAACTCTATTTGTAAGTAAATGAAAAACAAGTTTGTTTAACTAATGAATTAAATATTATTTTAAATCAGCATTCAGAGCTGCATGCTGATGTGATTTTAATGAAAGGGGGTAAAGGTCCGCTCTAACTTCCTTTTGTGTCTCTGGGACAGGAAATGGGGGGAAATTCCCCCAGGGGTACACATACAGCAGAACATGAACCCTTTCCTACTCCATCCAAAAATAAGAAAGAAAGTTGTGCCTATGCATACATTTTAATTGAGCGCCAATTCACAGAGACAAGCAACGGCACCACGCCTCGTTGTAAATAGCATCTCAAAGCTGAAGCAGACAAAATCTGGAGCAGCTGTGTATTGGAACCAATCAGCTTCTCTCTTTTATTTTCAAATTGTAACTGAACAAACTGAAGAGAGAAGCTGATTGGTTGTCATGGGCAACTGTTCCAGATTCTGTCTACTCCAGTTTTGATAAATTCCCCTCATTGTTTGGTAAAGGGCGACGCAACACACAGGGGTGTCCCAAGGCCGGGTGTCACCCGGTCTCTGGGACTGGGTGACACCCCACACGCGATTACGTCACCTCACGCATGCACGGTGATGTCATCGCACATGCGCGACATACTAATTGACGACTGCCGGTGGCCATCTTGGTGATGGACGCCGGCAGAAAGAGGAGGGGACGTTTACCCGGCCGGATGAGGTATGCCGCCGGGTCCTCTCCTCTCTCCTGACACTGTCGGGCTCTTGGCCCATGACAGAGTGTCCAACTTTTTAGAGGGGGTGACACCAAAATGACTGTTAATCATTTTGGTGTCACCCCTGCAATGGTGATAACCCAGGTGCGGACCGCACCCCCTTTGTGACGCCACTGGCAACACAACACTCATACTGTGTGTTGTGGTGCAATGGATTTTGGAAAAAGGGTCATGCACTTTTTTGCCCATTGTGGTGCGTTGACATGACAGCTCATTCATAATAAACAAAACGCACATTAATGCATATGTGTTAACGCACCGCAACTGATCACTTTCGTGTGAATAGGCCCTCAGATAATAAAAACAGATGGAAATGCAATGTACAGATTTTTAGGTTAAATAAAATAAACTCATCTCCTGTCTACCAGCGATCCCATGTCAGCAAACACAACATCATACAGGCTGCCAGGCAGAAGTTTCATCACAGGAGCTGTCTTAGGTTTCTCTACCATAGAAGCAGTGTTCTCTACCCTCTGTGTTCCGGCTTCATCACTAAACTGATATAACAGCATCCCAGAAAAATGGATATTTCACACAATCGACAACTTACAGTGCAGGAAACAGCAGCGGGATGGGGACTGATGCGTGCTGGTTGCCATGGAACCCCAACAATAACACGCCAGAAAGCGTTTGAATTGGACAATAAAGTTGCTAGCATATTGAATCGTGACGCTGTGGGTTCGCTAAGCATGACGGGAGCTGTAGTTCCCTGCTGAATGGCGCACGAGTGGCGGATGAAGGAGCTGCTTTGAGCGGTGTGACCTGGTGGGTTTGCTGGATGGTGACGGAGAGAGAGGTGGTTGGAGTCTTATAGTGTCTTATTATTGGCGGGTTGCTCTGTATTAACTGTAAATGGCGTCACAGATGGCCTAATAGTGTGGCCCGGTTGTGTTATGGTGTGAGGTTTGGAGGCCAGTGTGGACCTGTTCAGGCCTGTCCTTTTAATGAAGCAGCTTCAGGTGGCATCTCTTTGGGTCGCGTGGGTGGGGCAGCAGGCAGGGCGAAATGGCCATTCTGCTGCTCATTGTTTGCAGTGTGGCTGCTGCCCCATTTCTGGTCAGATGTTCCAGGTTGCTGAGAGCCGGTGTTCTATTGAGATGTCCAACTTGTCGAGATCTCCAACTCCCGTCAGTGCGCCTCCACCTAAGAGCAGTATCACATTCTCTAATTTGCGTTAGTGAGCCTGCGCGGGCATCCGATAGCACAAGCAGTGATGCCAGTCGGAGAACTTGATGAGGATTGCGATGCCGCACAGGCAAACCTAAGGCAATTGGGCAAGTCGACGAGGCTTGGAAAAAACGCCAAGGCTGGTGCACGCGCACTAGTGCCGTCTCGTTGAAATCTCCAACGGATGTGAAGTTACGAGTTGGAGATCTCGATGAGTTGGCCATTTCGACAGAGCACTTGTATTCCATCGAAATGGTCAACTCATCGAGATCTCCAACTCGTGACATCACATCCGGGCACTTGCCAGTAGGCGATGGCGCTTTTACGCCTGCGCCAGCCTTGGTAATTTCAAAATCCGTAGAGTTCTTCAATTCCCGTCAGTGCGCTTGTGTGGCTTCACAATCCTTGGTAAGTTCTCCAGCTCTTGTCACTGTGCCTTCGCGGCCACCCAAGAGCAGTATCAAGTTCTCTAATTGGTGTTACTGCGCGCCCAGGTGGAGAACTTGACGAGGATTGTGAAGCCGCGCAGGCGCACTGACTGGAATTGGAGAACTCGACGAGGATTCAAAAATTGCCATGGCTGGCGCACCAGCGTCACCTCGTCGCAGTCTCCTACTGGCAAGTCACCGGAGGTGACGTCACGAACTGTAGATCTTGACGAGTTGGCCTTTTCGATAGAACACCGGCCTAGGGAGATGGGTAAGGGCCATCTCTCCACCCAGATCTTGCCGACATCTCACCTCATGAGGCAAAAAGTCTTGTCATTTTTTTTTGCATAGGAGCCAATAAAGCATTGCAACTGTGATCAGTGGATTGCGGGTGCAATGCTCTGACTTCTGCAGACGCTTCCTCCCAGCCATGTCCATACTGAGATGCGAGCATTCAGTAACATGGAGGTGAGGAAGAATGACTGGACTACAAGTCACCGCACTTGTATTCCATTGAAAACAGCAAGTCCCTCTAACTCAGTGCCTGATGAGAGATGTCGTTTTCTCCTTTCACAGATTCTGTCAAAGGATCTGTGAATGGATGGTGTCTGTGTGGGTGGAGCCATGCAAATTAATTAGGGGAAAACCGTTCAGTTTCACAACCGTGCAGCTCAGTGTACGTTCTCGTCACAACTTGGTTCTAGAATAAATGGCTCCCATGCAGCAGCATCGGCGTTACATCACTCCCTGCTGTAGTCAGGATGTCTAGAGAGCTGGCAACTGGAGCATGTCGGCACCGGTGACTAAGCTGGTGGATGTCTCCACTCTTGAGTATTTGTTGACTTTAGTCCCTGTTCACAGCTATGTGTTGTGTGAACACGTGCCAGTCCTTGAACACAAAGCGTTCAAAACCTGCATCATGCTTGTGGTGTCATTTCTTAATGGCACCCCAAAAGTGACCGTTGAAACTAGGGATGCACCGAAATTTACTGATGTGGCCAAAAATGGGGTGCATCCCTGGTTTCTCTTCTCCCCGCTGGGTGCCGCTCTGTGTCCCCTCTGATCCCTGATGCTCTCTCCCGCCTGTGTTGGCAGAGGCAGCAGGGATCAGAGGGGACACAGATCAGCACCTAACGGGGAGGAAAGAAGCTTTCAGGAGGTCGAGGAGAGAGCTGTCAGCTGTCATGGGAGGCCAAGCTCTCCTCCCGCCATGCTCAGCCTCCTGTGACAGGCGAGTCAGGATGGAGAGCGGAATACAAACACTCAATGATCAGTACTGAGTGTATTCACTATCATCGAGTACCAAAAAAACCCGCAATATCGGTGCATCCCTACCTTGAGCTGGCTTGTTCTTAGGCCGGTCCCGGGAGCCTCTCTTCCCTTCAGCTGCAGCAGCCTAAGGTCCCTTAGTCATCACATTCTACACAGTGTATAGGACGTGAGGAAGCCAAGGGACATACCATTGCTGCGCAGCGGAAATGGGCAGGAGGGAGCGCTGTGGTGGCCGGCTTGGAGGGTCAGGTGAGTATGTTATTTTTGACCCTAGGCAATAGCTAGCACTTAACCCTTGCAGTGCAGGGGTAGCCCCACTGCAAGGGTTAATGGAGAACTATGAGGTGAGTGTTTTTCCTAGTTCTAGCCGACCTGTGACAATGAGACTCACAGGTCGGCTCAGTAGATTGGGAAGTGAGCGAGCAGATACCGGCTTTCGCTCACCTCTCGATCCTGTCACGGCTCTCTGCCGTGATAGGGGAGGGGCTGGATTCCCCCCGCTCCGATCCGCCAACGCTGACTGGCGTAACGGACGGGGGAGGGGGCGGATACAGCTGGCTCTGCCTCTAGATAGGCAGAGCCAGCTGTCACTCACGCAGCTGGGCGGATCTCGACATCGATGTCGGGATCCGCTCCGGCTGCGGCGTCTCAGTATACCGCGAGCTGCAGCTCACGGTATACTGCGGCGTCTCAGTATACTGCGAGCTACAGCTCGCGGTATACTGAGCCTAGGGTGACGGGAGGACGCTAGTTTGTGTCCTCCCGTTACCATAAGGAGAACTATGGGGAAAAGCCCTGACCCCATAGTTCTCCTTTTTAATAAAATTTTTACCCTGAGTTCTTCTTAACCACAGACAAATCACACTAAAATAAATACATGACCCTTTTATTTTAAATTGATTCACACTGCGACGCATGGTAATAAGTTATCATGTGCTGTAGTGCGACTCAAGGCACATGTGAGGGCTACCGTGTTTCCCCGAAAATAAGACAGTGTCTTATTTATTTTTTTTCACGAAAAAAGACACTAGAATAGTTACATGTGCAGCTACCTCAAAGGTAAGACCTAGCGCTATCTTCAGGTATGTCTGTAATATAAGACCTACCCCGAACTAGGTCTTATTTTCGGGGTAGGTCTTATATTACAGAAATCCCTGAAGATAGCACTAGGTCTTATTTTCGGGGAAACACGGTAGGTGCATTGGGGTGACATTAAAGGCAATTTTTTATTTTTCCCTACCCAATGTTAGTGTCTGGACTTACCTTAAATCCTTGGTTCTCAACTGGTGGGTCGTGACCCAACAGCGGGTCGCGACCCCGTGTTCGGTGGGTTGCCGCATGTCTTCCACTTTTCTAGGTGAGAGGCTCCTCAGCCTCCCCCTAGCGCAGCACTGTCAGTTCTTGGGCCAAGCAGCCATTCAAAATATGCTTCCCGGTACTGAGCATCAGCTTGAGGTAAGGTGGGATGGGGTCATGGCTGCGAGGGAGCTCCATCTTTACGTGAATTGCTTACAGCTCCCCCACGTGTACTATAGAGGTGATCTGGACCGGAGTGATCTCACATTCTGGCTCCCGGCACCTCTACAGGGCGTGCAAGGGAGCTGTACAAGCAATGCACATATGGATGGAGCTCCATCACAGTTCAGCAGCCCACACTGGACCCAAGGCTGAGGATCCACTCCAGTTCTCGTAAGGTTGGGAGACTGGGTGGATCTTAGGAAAAAATAAATAATTTTTTTTTGGAGTGTGTATATGTGTGTTAGAATGTCTGTGAATGTGTGAGATTGTGTCTGTCAGTGTATTTGAGGGCCCTACACACTAGTTAAGTGCGGTAATCGCATAGTCTTGTGCGATTAACACACTGTACCACGCATTCTGGTGTGGGAGGTGTGCTGCCATTCACTTAAATGGCACCCCAAACACACCACCCACCCACATTTCGATTGCCCGCATTGGAACGCTCTGTGCAGCAATTCTATGCTTTCCATTGCAGTGCAACTTGGGTCGCGACTGAATGACCAAGGGCAAATGTGGGTCCTTAGGTTACACAGGTTGAGAACAACTGCCTTAAATGATGCCTATTGATCCGATCATCTTCTTTCCTATAGTTTTCAGCCGTCCCTCCAGCGCTGGTGCGGGTCTCCGATACAACGCTGACTCCTCTGTCCTTCTTCTCTTCTCTCATGTCCCACTGTGTCTGCTGGTGCACACTGCTCCGTAGACTTACCTTGTGTCTCTCCTCGTCTCCCGGCCGAACATCTGAACTGCGCATGCGCCCACCCCAAGATCCTTTGCGACCGCCTGAGACTCTTCAGATGTTCGGACAGGAGCGCACGGCGACGACACAGGTACGTTTAAACCTGATTCAAAAGTTTTTTGTTTTTTTTAATTTAGGTTTTTGCATATATCTTTTGCTTGCTAGCAGTAGATATATGCAAAAAAACGTTAGGGTTTAATAACCCTTTAACCCCTTCGTGACTGACGACGTACAGTGTACGTCGCCAGCATCGGGGCTGTTTAAACAGACTCCCGGCGACTTTTGCCGCCGGGAGTATGGCACCGAACAGTGTAACATATGCAGTCTTGTGCAATGCAGGATCGCACCGCAGAGATGTGAACGGTTCAATGCACCCAACCCCGGGCTTATATAACCTATGAATAATCATGCTTGTACTGGATACAGTGCGGAAATGCCAATACTATGCCTTCAAACCAGTGTTGATTGTCATGTACTTTGCATGTTGTGTTATTACACAATATTGAAAATAAAATATGTAAAACCAAAAAAATTGAAAAATTCTTTTTTGTTTATCTAAGCTTTCAAAGATGTGAGATGAACGTATGCTCATGGCTTCAAGTGCAGCGACACAGAAGGACTGGTACTGTATTCTCGGGGCACATCCATCCGACAGCCAAGCAGAGCTAAAACAAAAGTACCAAAAGCTAGCTCTCTTAGTGAGTATATAACATTATACACGTGTGTGTGTGTGTAAGGACCACTGTGTCTGAATTGCATGTTATCAATCTCTCCAGGAACCCGGGACTTCTAAGCCAAGGGAGCAAAGCAAGGCTGCTGTTATTTGTATGATTGTAAGTAGGGATGCACCGAAACGTATCAGCCGAAAATGGCACTTTTGGCATAATGCCGAAAGTGCCATTTTCTGTCCGATACAGCGGTGCATCCGATCTTCTCTCCTCCCCGCTGGGCGCTGCTCTGGGTCCGGGGAGGAGAGAAACTGTCACAGGAGGCCGAGCGCTGCGAGCGGCCGTCGTCTCTCCTCCCCGCAGCGCTCAGCCTCCTGTCACAGATCAGAGGAGAGCGGTGTGTGGGCGGAGACAGCTTGCCGAGCTCTGCTCACTCAGCCTCCTGTGACAGCATGTCATGATGGAGAGCGGGTACAAGCAGTCAGTGTTTGTAAAGAATTGAGGACAGAGTATGGTTACTATATCTTCAATTATGAATGAGTGGGAAGTGATCTACATCACCTCCTGTTCATTCATAATTGTGGTTATAGTAACCATGCTCTGTCCTCATGTTATCAATGAACAGGAACACTCATAAAGGATTCCTGTTCATTGATAACTGGGGCTGCAGCAAAAGAGATTGAGGACTCTGTGTCCTCAATCTCTTTTTCGAAAGGGAAATATCAGGGGGTCTATACCCCCAATATTTCCCTGAAGCCCCTAAAAGTAAAAAAAAAAATTAATAAATAAAAATAAAATATTTCAAAAAGTTAAAATAAAAAACTTTCAGTTTTGAAATGTTCATTTCGGTGCACCTCTAAATTGTAAGCTATCACAGAACCTGCATTGTATATTATAAGTACATTTCCTGCAGCAATTTTCTTTTTATTATGGTCAGTGAAATCTGTGGCAGGTTTAAAGAACTCTGGGATTTTATAAAACTTACCCTTGCTGTGGGACTGCCCCGCACTGCAAGGGTTAAGTGCTCTTTTGGGTCTAGGGCACAAATAAAGAAGATGCACTCGCCTATCTTCCCCTCTGCTCCGTTTATGGAATGCCTCCCGGCGTCCTTACGTCTAAGGCCCCATTCACACTGAGCGATTTATCGCGCGGTAATCCGCGCGATATCGCTCTCCAATGCATGGCAATGGGGCTCTGTCCGTCGCTGTCGCGCGTCGCTACAGCAGGACCCTTTTTGGTGCGGATTTTGCTGCGATTCTAGTTTGTTCAATGCAACCATTTGTGCGACAAACGCGCAATTTGTGAATCGCTCAGTGTGAATGGGGCCTAATGGAAGTCAATGGATCTACATTAGACATGATGAAGTCTGTGGTCCCTAGACCGCCAGAGCCCGGGGAAGAAGAGGCTGTGGGGACCGATTTGGGAGCCTGGCGGGGGCCAAGGATCAGGTAAATATATCTGCTTTATTTGAGACCCAAACAAGCATTTAACCCTTGCAGTGTGCGGTAAGCCCCTGTGCAAGGGTTCGTTTTGTAATTCCTGGAGTTCCTATCATGTGTATTCTTACTTGAACCTTGTTGTGCTTTTGAGTATTTCTGCCAGATATGTTCAGTAATCCAGTTTGAGACTTTACCTTTTAGTTCAGGAGATTCCTTTAATAAAGACCAGCCACTGCTGCTCTGTCTCCTTGTGCAGGCTGACTGGTCTTGTCTCCGCCTCTCCTGTAGTTTTCTGCACAAAGCCTGTGGTGGGTGTAGCCTGCTGAGTCCCTGCCACAGCTCAGCACTATGCACAGCACAGTGATGATGTCATTGCTACTTTTACAAGGTGATGTCTGTAATTGCAAATGTATTTGGTGTCTAATAAGTGGATTTATATACTATATTGAGGAATTTATTTAACTTTCAAAGTATTTTATTAATTTTCCAAAGTACAATAAAACAATAAAATAGCACACGATGCACAATCAGTATAGCATACAATTGCCTTACAGTTTCTTCCACATTAGCATAATCAAGTAGTAGGAGGGGATCACTAGAGGCCATACACACAATATATAATAGTTCTGTACAACAGAACATATCTATCCACCTATTCTTGCCAATTTATCCCCCATCACTAAAATCAAAAATCAGAACAGTCTGAGAGGAATATCTGGCCTAGGGATCCGCCTATGTCTAAAGCAAACATTTGTTATGATCTCCTCCATATCTATATCAATAGAATACTTTCTGTCCAGCATCTATGTACTAAACGGCTCACATGTGCGAGCATGAAGAAAAAAAAAAAACAGACAAAAAGAGGAAAAGGAAATAGATACTAGAGGAAGCAGAACAGCTTAAGTGTCCGAAAAGAGTAGCTCCATCCCCGACCAAATAGCCCAACATCTACTTAAACCTTAAACATAGTCCCCAGAGAAAAATTCCAGAAAAGTTATACAATGAAAATTACCCGATTTCCAGCACCCCTGTATATAACAACCAGGGGGACCAGGTCAATTCAAAACTTTTTTTATTATCTTGGAGGATGCTGTGAAGTTTCTCATGGACCATAATCCACAACATTTTTTGTTTGACCAAGTGGAATGGAATTGTTGGTGTTTTCCAAGCCCTAGCTATGGTTATTTTGGCTGCCAACAGAAAGAAAGTAATTAATTTATCCAAAGCTTTAGACAGTCCTGGAATCGGGCAATTCAGCAACACATATTGGGGATCTCGTGGGACTCTCACCCCAGTAACCCTAAATATTAGAGCATAAAGCCGGTTCCAAAAAGGTCTCAATTTGGGGCATTCCCACCATATGTGATATATCGTGCCCGAGTGTGCACATCCCCTAAAACAATGTTGAGGAATTTATTTAAATGAAAGTTACTGTGCCCGGAGTTCAGTTTTTTGATTGACATTAAATTGCATCCAGGCTGATATAGAGGGCATCTTCCCTTCCTTACCCTGTTGACTAGGGGTGGGTGCAGTGACGTGCGTGGCAGCCGCAGTTCTATGCAGAATAGGTGTTCTTAATATACATGTTCATAGATAAACATTTAAAATAGGTCAGCTTAATGTAAATCTTCTCATGTTATGTTTTATAAACCCCGTTCCTATGAATAAGTTGCTTTATGTGGGGCAACCATATTTTTTCCTCACATGCAGTTCTTTCTTGCTGCTTTGCAAATCTACATGGTGGATTTGCTTTACTACTACTTCCATCTCACAATGCGAGCCTGCAGACTCATTGAAATCACTGCTCTTTGTGTGGCTGATATCTTGGCTCAATAGGTCATGGAGACAGAGAAATAGCACTGAGCCATTGATCTCCCACTCGTGCAGGGGTGGGCAACTCTGGCCTTCCAGCTGTTATGGAACTACAAGTCCGATGAGGCATTGCAATACTGACATTACAGGCATAACTCCCAGAGGCAGAAGCATGTTGGGATTTGTAGTTAAAGCACAGCTGGAGGGCTGGAGTTGCCCAACCCTGCCTTTGACCTTTTTATTTCCTGCAGTTTTCAGAATCCGTGACATCATGGATCCTTCCTCTTCTTCGTTGATGGCTGCAGTGGGTGATTCTTCCTCTTGGATTGAGCGGTAGTCAGTACAGAAGTATTGTGAACCCGGGTTTCATGATGATGCACCCCCAGGAGGTGTGTCATTGACGGCCTGTTTTCACAGGAAGTGGGTTGGATGATGCTGGCCGTCAATTAGCTTGGAAGACCAGCAACACTGGATATTGGAATTGCAAGTCTAGAGGGAGGCAGTGTTAGAGACGAGGTAGAATTTGTAGCTAGAACTGAGTTTTATTGTGTGAGGGTGCGAAGCTGCGTAATAGGGGAAAAAGACAAAAACAGACTTGAGTAATGCATTTCAGATGGGTCTGCCTTACACTCTGTTTCTCAGAATGATCTTGCGTGACATACAAGGAGAGTCGTGGGCTCTACGCTGGAGACTTGGAGAAATAAAACCATTACATTCTATGCTCATCTTCTGTTTGACATGTGTGAAGAATCGCTGAAGAATGGCCAGACTCCGGGATGTCTCGTATGCATATGTAAATCAGCTTTTGGGTTCCATTTCCTGCTGGCGATCAGATGAGAACCCAGCCACTGGTTCCTGTCAGAGTTCACCCTCCTTAATGATATTTCTATGGAACCGGCACATGCATGCCGACTCACCACTCCTCTTCTGTGCCAGCCAGGGCAGGAGAAAACAAACTGCCTTTTATGAACGCAGATGTTGAGTTCTAAAGCCGGCAATGTCCCACAATGCACTGCACGGCCATACATCAACTTCAAGTGTATGTACAGCCAAAGCTTTGGTTTTACTTTTGATTAGGATAGAGAAGGGTTAGAACGCCTGTGCAGTTTGTATTGCTGCCTGTGTCTCCAATCAGTGGGTTTGCTCTCTCTATTTGTCCTGGTGACCACTGTCACCGAGACAAAAAGTGATGTGAAATCCTAAATTTTCCAGTTGTCACGAGAATTGTTCGTATGGCATCTGAGGGGACTTTCCCTAATGTGGTAGATTTATCCTTACTTCCTGCTTTGTCTCCAGGAAATGAAGTGAAAATAAATCTCTCCAATGGACATACAGCCAAAAATAAAGTGACCGGAGTTGTTCTTTCCTTGCTTGTTGAGGGAATAAATGGCAATCCCAAATACATTGCTTGTAAACTTTTTTTGCAGATCTTTCCCTGGTCTGTAGATACTGATATAAACGTAACATGCAATTTTGATAATGTGTGCGCTAAGCGGAAGGTCTGTCTTTAGTCATTCATCAGTATCGGTGTTGCTACCATTGCAAGTATCCTACCAAAGATGTGCAAATGTCATACAGGCCATTGATGCCTATAGATTGCCCTCAAGCTCTGGGATGACTTCTGTGCTGAATTGCTGTCACTCCGATGTCTTTTGGGCCCAACAGGGAAGAGTGAGGGAACATCTTAGTCTAGATGGGTCCCCGTCTTTCCTCCTGAGCTTGGCTTCTTTTGAGGTAGTGGAATGGTATTTATTTTCATATTCTCATGGATTTCAGATT